ACAAGAAATGATCCTGCTTTTTACCCTTTACATGCTAATTCGTACTTTCTTTTGCGGTATAAAGGTTAAAATACATGGTAATTTCATGTCACAGCAGCGCAAATGCACCTAAAATACATGCACATTTGCACTGTTAAAATCTATTGCAGCACATATTGCTTTTAAAGGTTCATGCGTATTTGCGTAACAGTCATATATATGCATCCCTGTTTATGTTTACACAGTGCAGTACTAGTTAGTGTAATAAACAGAATAGAGGAAATCAGCTCTAATAAACATTACGTAGGTTTGCATACTGTAAATATACAGGTAATCAATTTCAGCACAATCAGAATACTTTAGAGTATTAGCAGCAACATGGATATTTATTAATTGTTGAGTTTAACTAGAGGTTTCGAGTGGTCAATTGCACACCTGAGAACCAGAACATCTCAACCTGAATGAATTAAATTCCCCGTTTCATTTCTGCGGACTTCAGGACCATCCCAATTAAATTCCTCCTTATCTGCAGCCTGAGAGCAGCCGGTCCCTTCAGCCACGAACTCATTACAGCTCCACTGTCTCTCCCTACCTCAGCTCTCCTCCCCATCTGGCTCTTCAGCACTTTCAGACGCAAACAGCAGAAACCGGCAGAACCTAAATTATGTCCGGCCCATAATCTCCGAATGATTCCTGGAAAGCCAGAGTCTCCAAATGTAATTGAGTGGGAGCAATAAAAAAAATAATATGGGGGGCTGGAAATGAATCTGGCACGCAGATAGGTGGAAGGAGCTGCCAGCAAGTGCTGCCTTTGTTTTGTCATGCCGCCATTCCCATTCTTCCAGCCTTAGTAGCCAGTTTTCTGGGGCACAAAGGGAGTTTCCCACAAACTCCTATGCCAGGGGTGGCCAATCAGGTGTGTTTTTGGGATAACCTTTAGGTCAGTTGTTCAAACCCAGGTGTGAGGACTCTTAAGCCAATCAGTCCTCTAATTAGGGAGTTGAAATGAAAACCTGCGTACTCAACAGCCCTTGCTGGATAAGGTGGCCCACTCCTGCTCTAAGCTGTCTGACGACAGAGTGACCCTAAGGCCCCGTTCACACCTGGTATTAACATCAGTCCTGCGTGATCCGATCACCAAGTGGACAGCACTAAATACAGGTGTGAACGCAGTCAAAACGCATTGAGATCAGATTTCTCAGACCACATGCGGAGGTGGTCTGGGACACGTATATGGCCACATTCTTATAGCAGTGTGAATGCGAATGTGTCCTGGGCCGCATTGAAGGACCGCCGACTCAGCTGACGTTCTCGTGTGAGCAGAAGTGCTCAATAAATGCCCGAGTGGTATTTGACATATGATTTATGTCAAAACACCTGTCAGTACAGAATGAGCCACTGTGTAGTAAACTGCACTGTGTAGTAAACTGCACTGTGTAGTAAACTGCACTGTGTAGTAAACTGCACTGTGTAGTAAACTGCGCGTATTTTTTATACAACACCAACAAGTAAGTTTGAATCTACTGGAAAGATGGTTTAATATCGGACTGTGGTGACCCTTTCGTATAGAAACCTTGTCAAAATATTCCATGAACAATTTGGGAAAAACAAACTATGTAAGAAGGTGTGTTGGAATTTGCACAGATCATATTTAATGCGCACTTTCATGAAGCTTCCTTATTTATGTCAAAGCTGCTCCACGCTTTGTTAATATTGCTGAACGGTGCCGGTAAAAGTTACATGAACGTAAAGTTAAAGCGCGTAGGTAACAATGTATGTCCATAGCCTGGAAAATGGAAGGTTGCAACACTCTTCTCATATTGTTTGGAAACAGAAGCCATCTGTATTACGCAAGGAAGAGGCGCATTCAAGGTAGAAAAACCAGCACATTGTATTGTGTCACCTTGAGACAGCCACTTGTCTGTTTGATAAACAGAGATTGTGGCTGACCTGGCCATCTGATCCACTGAGCAGGTTTAGGGATGACACCATAATCCATAATCCAGATCCCGGGTTCTACTGGGCTGTGAGGGGTACCACTGAGTCTGGCACACAGTATCTGGCACGCCAGCTGGGATGCCTAAGACCAATGAGAGAAAGTCCTAAACCCTGACACCCCATCTGTTGGGGTAATCTACCCACATGCAGAGAATCTGGGTCTGAGGAGACAGAACTGGGTAAATACAAGCCGATCCATGGACCAGAAATTACTATGAGCACCATCTCAGCACAGAAGATTAAACGACATATCTGAATTGCAAAGACTACTGCAAAAGCAGACATTTTCCTCATCTGGTCACCTCTGTTTCTGGCACAGGGACACCCTGGCGCTTGGACCCCCCCAGACTGTTGAGTCATGAGTATGGTCCCTTTTAGCACCTTGCCATCTGCTGCCAGCACTCTGTGGATAGAAGCTGGAGGTTAAAGGTCTATAGCACGGATTTCCAGGGTCATTTCAGACCCATGTCAGACAGACAGCAGCTCCATCCCCTGCTGTCTAAGGCCACTCCCACTGGCCTGAAGCGCACTGGGGCCTGGCGTCCGTATCACGCCGCCTCTTTAAATGCCAGCGCGAGGAGAGTTCCTGGGTTGAGGTTAATCGCTGGCAAACTTCAGATTGTAGCCCAACTATGTCAGCAAGGAAACATGGAGATAAGTTGAAGACTATCCCAGTTACTCTAAGGCAGGGTATGCAGGTTTTTGGGATAACCAGAAGGTCAGCTGTTCAAACCCAAGTGTGAGGACTCTTCACCCAATCAGTCCTCTAATTAGTGACCTAATTATGGAGTTGCAGCGAAAACCTGCATACACACCGGCCCTTTGCGGATTGGCCACCCCTGCTCTAAGGAATAAATAAAGAATATATAAATCAATATGTTATTGATTATAACGAACAAACTAAAGCAATGAGGTGGTTCTGTCCCACAGATCGTACCTCAGATGGTGACTCCTGGATATTCTGCCCTCACTCCCGTTGCCATAGCAGCCATAATTTCAGCTGGGACAGGGAGCACATTTGTCAGTGGATATAAAGATTAGGATTAGTTTTCTGCCCAGGAATAATCTGAAAGTAAACCTTCTATTCTTTGGATGAACAAATTAAGGCCAAATATCAAAGCAAAGTGATATTAGGCACCTCAGCCACATGGCATAAGGTGACATTAAGCATGTATGGAGCAAGGTCAAAGGTCAAACTCTGGCTTGATATCAAATAACTCTTGTTTTTTTTTCTCTCCTGATGTGAAGGTAGATTAATTCAGTCAGCTGTCCTGAATCCATTCTGCTTCATCAAAATATTTGCATTAAAAAACAACTTACTGTATAATACCACACAAATCCTTTGGCTCATAGGAGTTTGACTTACACAAAAATGTTATGAGGGCAGAAGGAACAGTGATTGGTTCAGAGAGATAACCAATCAAATTGTAGATGAGGTGGGTCCAACCAATCAGATGCTTTGGTCCTGCCTCCTCTAGTTGCTGGGATCCACCTCCTCTACAATTTGACTGGTTATCTCTCTGAAGCAATCAAACTCCCACAAGCAATCCTTCATCAATGAAATACCAGCAAATCACCAGCTGGATCTGTGACCAGAAGGCAGTCATTTAACAAAATGAAAGTAAAGGTTTCTGCCAGCGCGTGCAGGCCGCCAGGTGTCCGTAATACTGCCATCTCTCATAGAAGTCTTTCCTCAATCAAACAGGATGAGATCCTTGGCAACGTGAAATACAGCCCCAGCCAGCAGAGTTTTCGTATGTCACAGATGCTGGGGCAGCATTTGAGAAAAGTATAGCTTTTACCTCGATTTCACAGTAAAACAAACCAACGCCTGTGTATGGGCAGTTGTCTGGCACTGATCTGAGCTTAATTGATTCAGTGTGGAGACATGGGAGATATAGCATTCAGTCTGGAAGCACTGAGAGGCTCTGTGACAGGGAAAGGCATGTAGATGACAGAGCGCTGCCCCCCGGATGAGCACTGCGCTTCATTTGGGTGGGGGGGGAGACAGCAGCCAACTAAGCCGATTAAGCTCAGGAACACAGCCCCCCTCTGGTCTGGGCATCCAAGGGCATTAAAATATTTCAAGACATCTCCTAATACATCCACAGTGCGCAGTTTAGGTGCTTCTTTTTTAACATCCCCCCCCGCATGAAGACAGAATGAAATTTACTACATGGTGGAAATTCTACAAAGTGTTCTTTTAAAATGTGCACCGTGTAATTTAATAACATTTCTATAAAGTGTAATAACGGGAATTACAAATGCGGTGCCAAGTAAAACTCTGAACTACAGACAGCCACCGATGTAGAGACGTGGTAAGGCAGCAATAAGTACGCAAAACGGGAAAAACTCTCCCGGGCGTTGTTTTACATATATAGGCTATATTATACAGGACTCATATTTTGAAAACAGGCCGATGGGCCTGATGGTTAAATATTATTTCTTTTTTTCTACAAAATTAAACGAACAAGCATGCAACAAAACGATTTAATGTAGCCAAGACTGGAGCGCAAGGGTGGTCATAATTTTAGCCAAATAAGAGTAATTAAAATTAAGTAAATTAAGGCCAATCGCGTGGAGCGAAGGTTTCGGTTAGCGAGAAATTTCATTAAATATAAATGAAATGATATAGGCAGGTGGGATAGCTGTAGTAATATGATATGATTACATTTGTCGCAACTAATTAAACAACATAATTTACGAAGTACGACGTACTCAAAACAGAGCATAAAACGTCAGTTATTATAGCTTAAGAAATGAAAAAGTTTTCCATTCATCTACAGTGAGAACACAATAAAGAATTATATAATAAAGGCAAACAAGAGCAATTATACTAAAACAACTTTTATGCTATTTTACGGTTACGCATTAAGCTGCCAAATAAAGTCGCAACCGCAACCACTTCAAATTAAAAGGCGGGTTAAGAGTTGCACAAAAAAGGGAAAACTGAAGAAGTAGTCAGTGGGTGCATCTCTGCAACAAAATAACAGCAATAAAAACCAAACACCTGCGAAACTTACGTGAAAACGAAAAATAAAGTTGTAGAACCGACAAGGAGTGTGGCAGCGCTGGACACGGGGATAAACGTTGTGGGTTTAAATGTCTTTCCAACGATGCCGGGCATTCTGTAATTTCCACATCCCTTAATTATTTAATTCGACTGAGCAGTCGTACTGAGATCCACCGCGCCGATCCGCAAAACTGGGCTACGTCGGCAAGCGCCTGTGCTTAACTGGCAGGAGAAAAACGGAAAGCGCACATATTCCAAGATGGACAGAATAAGCATTCATCAGCTGGAAATCCCACTCGGGCAGCCCAGTCTAGCACCGTTATAAAGGAGGAGTCTGCAGGGTCCAGGGGCGGATTGTCCCTCAGACACGATCCGGAGCAGCTCGGTCGGGGTCTCACTTTGCGTCAGATATTCCTCGGCAATTCACCGGTACTCAGATACACCTGTTCATAAAACAGACTTCTTTACGTAATACACCGATGCACCTCTTCCGGAGCATGGTATCTCAAAATTTTATTTATTTTGACAGTGTGATTATAATCTGATTTCACCAAAACGAATCCCAGTACTGATTTTTTACAAAGCGTACAAAACCTTTGGTAAGCGAACGTAGAATATTATTTAACTTTTCGATGTCCACGACGTTGCGAGCATGTAATGATTTAATTACCCGTGAAAATCAGTTGCATAATATCAAATCCACGCAGGTCAGTATATCTTAGTTAGGCATATAGCCTAATAAACACATTTGCTTCACTAAAATAGAAATGACATACAAAACGAGCAGTCACGTAATTTAAATCATACAGAAACGGTTTTGTATGCCAGTTGTATAAAAATACAAGGTTTAAACAGTTTAAACATCTGGCGAAAGAACCATATTGTATTGGAATAAACATTGTATTCCCCCTAGTGGCAAATGTTTGAAAAATCTTCGCTTAAGGCTGCATGTTTAGCCGATCCGTAATGGATAGTATTGACGAGATAAACGATTAATATCTCAGGGTTGCCAACTCATCTGGCGTGACACTCACCCTTTCTGAATTCGCAAGCAATCTTACGGCTAATCTATATTATTCCATTATAACCTTAAAATTAGCTGCATAAAAAAGCGTTGGGGTAGTTTGCAAACCATACAAACATACATATAAATAATTATAAGTGTGCAGACTTGCATCGAACTGAAAATCTCACGCCAGCCAGCTGACAAAAGTTGATATCTGTTTAGCCGTAAGTTTTAAATGGATTTAATAGAAGTAAAAATACGAATATAGACAGGTCGTTGAAATGCAGAGGGAGTAAAATCTTTCCGTGCCACGGGCATATGCCACTCGACATGCCACCGCTACGTGCGCATGCCACTCGACATGCCACCGCTACGTGCGCATGGCACTCGACATGTCACCGCTACGTGCGCATGGCA